GCCATAACAAAGAAGAGAAAAGTAATTCAGACATTTCACAGAGGCTTAATTTGAAATATAATGCTTTGCTAGAGAAACAAAGACAAAATATTTTAAACAATTTTAAGATTAAAAAGAAAGGTTAATGGGAGGAGGGAAACAGCAGAAGAGAAGAATGTGCTTAAAGAAACAAATCTGCATAGATGATGAAATGAATTTAATTCAATTGATTCCTGCCTAAAACCAAGCCTGGTTAACTGAGGTAGACTCTGGGAATTACACGTGCAAAGAGTCAGGTTTTCCAAAGGGTGACATTTTGTCATTTCGGATATGGTAAAGTAAAAGTGCATTTCATAGTTTTGAACAATAAAATGGGGAAATTTCCTTTTATAAGAAGGAAATTTCTCTATACTAATTTCCTATTTTTGTGCCAAATTTCCAAACATACAAAAACCTATACACTGCTGGTAATAAAGCAATATCCGGGTTTTGTTCATTTATTTATTTTCTCAGGAAATGAGGAAGGTAAAATAAATTGTATGACATTATCTGAATATTTTTCCTGTTTTTATTAATAAGTCACTGGGAATTTAGAATTATTATTAAAGCTAAAGAGTTGTCTGGAGCCAAAAAACCTAATAAAAATTCAAAGATCTATTTGTTAATGAGGTGAATGTTTAAAAATATATCTATCATCGTAAGGATTTGAGTTTTTAAATACTCATACAATTTCTATATTAAGAAACAAACATTAAAAGCAAATGTTAAAAAATTAAATAAATAAGTATGAAAAGCCTAATTTAAAAGTATAAATAAGTGAACTTATAGTAATTACAACAGAGTTTTTAGCTTTTTCTGTAAAAACAGTTAGTGGAGATGAGAGTAAAACATTTGAGGCTTAAATATTGTTGTCCTCCTAACATGCCCTCCAACTATAATTTCTGCTTTTTCTATTGTGACATATTCTTAAATTCACATAAATATTATGTGCATCACAAATTAAGTGGTTTCTTAAAAATATACAATCCAAACAGCTAAGGAAAAAAGATACAAAAAAGAGAATAGTTAGGATTTTTTCTTCATACAAGTTAAGGTGGCCTTTTCTTGGAAAAGGCCAGCATACACCCTTAACATCTGACGGCTGTCATACAGAATATACCTAAAGTGATTTATCACTAATAAGATAAAACGAAGAGTGGGAGTCCACTGGCAAAGAAAGACTCAATAACCAAGACAATACTGAAGGAACCAAAGTCCACTCACACAACATGAAATACTTGCCTGGGTCCTTCACTTCATCTCAAATTAGGGTGGGGGGAAAGTGAATCGTAACTACCTCAGCTGGTTACTGTTTTATGATTCTCATCACAGATTTAGCAGTGTATATAAAAGCTTACTCCTAAGGAAGGAATTCAAATGAACCCAGACTATCCAAAACCTAGAGTACTAATAATTTCATGTTCAACAGAAGCTACACAAGGCAGTCAAGGAATGACAATTATATTGTAAATGTGGATTGTACACACACATTTTCCCCGATGTATCTGTATGACTGTCCATAGTAGATTCACCAAGTATTTGTTTGCTCACTTTTTGAGTAATCAGTGCTTTCAGCCTATGTTTTGAGACTGAAATATGACGTCACAAAAACTGTCATCTCAGAATCTCAAATTAAGCCCCGAGCTATAAAGCTAGATCATTGCATGCTTCCCCTTCCAAAATGGCTAGGTATTGCGGGAGGTACTGGTCAGACCCGAAAGTGTATAGACAAAGTCTGTGATGCCATCATCTATTGCCTATTTGGGTAACCAGAAGTTTGCAGCTTCCATTAAAGAGCTGTTTGATACATTTCACTAATATTAATTTCCTTTAAAAAAAGAAATTATGGGGCCAAAAGGTTTATAGTAAACGTGTCATGCTTATAATAAGTATGCAGCTTGGGAAATGATAAAAATTGTTCATTAAAATAGATCTAAAATAGTTTTACACATTATTCAAACAAATGGGTATCAGTTCTAATTTCAAAACAAATTTAAAGTGCAAAAAAGAGGGCAAAAAACCTTTTACATATTTTTCCAAAGCACACAGAGTACTATGCCTCTCCATCAGTGATCTAAACTCTTGTTTCAGTAGAGACCAGAAGCTATACAGAATCATTAGAGAAACTGCCAGGTTGGAATGGTACTCTCTAGTCCAGCTTTGTCTGGTCCACAAAGCTCCCACCCACTGTGTCTTGGACCAGTCAACACACATCTACAGAATGAAGGGACTATCTGATCAGATATCTGCAAAGCAGACTTAAACATAACTTAGTCCGACAATCATTGTGCTGCAGAACTCAAAATACTCATGTTTTGTTTTGGTTTTGGAGGAATTAAAGGAGCCAAATATTTCTCCTTTGATAACGAATCTGCTACTGCAACACAGAATAACAAAACAAAACAAAGCAAAACAACTCAATCTCATTCTGGGTAAGGCAACACACCGTGTTCTGCAATAAAGACATTGCGTGTGTGTGTGTGTGTGTGTGTGTGCGTGTAATCCTAGGAGGGGTATGTGTATGCATGTGTGTGTGATGTACACTAAAAGTTAGGGCTGGGCGCAGTGGCTCAGGCCTGTAATCCCAGGAGAAGGGGGGGTGTGTGGGTGGGTGAGAGAGAGAGTGTGTGTGTGTGTGTGTGTTTGTGTGTGTCTAATCCCAGGAGGGGTGTGTGTATGTGTGTGTGTGTGTGTGTGTGTGTAATCCTAGGAGGGGTGTGTGTGTGCATGTGTGTGTGTGTTATGTACATTAAAAGTTAGGGCTGGGAACAGTGGCGTATGCCTGTAATCCCAGGAGTTACAGACTACCCTGGCCAACATGGTGAAACTGCGTCTCTACTAAAAATACAAAAAAACAGGCATGGTGGTGGCAACTGTAATCCCAGCTACTCAGGAGGCTGACGCAGGAGAATGGCTTGAACCTGGGAAATTAGCTGAAATCGCACCACTGCACTCCAGCGTGGGCGACAAGAACAAGACTCCATTTCAAAAAAAATAAAATAAAAAAAACAAAATAAAATAAAAGTTAGAACACCTGAGGGATGTCTTCAAGATCCTTTAAGAGATGTAAGATATAAAGCATTTACCATCCACTGAAAGGGCAAAATGAGAAACAAGGTAAATAAAAAGCACACCAGCTTCACTTAACATAGTAAAATTAAGCTTCCAGGAAGTTTGAGTACTGCTTAACTGTCATTAAAAGAATCACAATTACTATGTCATTATATAAAGAATTCAGAAAAATAATTAAATGCACACCAAAATATTTAATACAAAACTCCGAAAAGGTCTAACTAATCAACTAAAATATTGTTAGGCTGGTGCAAAAGTAATTGCAGGTTTTGCCACTGAAAGTAATGGAAAAACCACAACTACTTTTGCACTAATGCAAACAAGTTTTTTTTTTTTTTTTTTTTTTTTTTTTTTGAGATGGAGTCTTGCTCTGTTGCCCAGGCTGGAGTGCAGTGGCATAATCTTAGCTCACTGCAACCTCTACCTCCTGGGTTCAAGCAATTCTCCTGCCTCAGCCTCCCTAGCAGTTGGGATTACAGGCACACACCACCATGACCGGCTAATTTTTGTATTTTTAGTAGAGATGGTGTTTTGCCATGTTGGCCAGGCTGGTCTCAATCTCCTGACCTCAGAATATCCGCCTGACTCAGCCTTCCAAACTGCTGGGATTACAAGGGTGAGCCACCGCACCCTGCCCATGCAAACAAATTTTAACAATCAGAAGACTAATGTTTTAGTGATGGCTCCTAAAACTTCAGGGGAAAAAAAAAGTACATTTCTGAATGGCAATAGTTTGCAAAATAATCTTAATGGAACTACTTATTTCTTTATTTTAAATGTTAATGAATAAAAGGAAACTTCTGTCAATTTTTAGGAAGAATTCAATTACAATAAAATCATTATGCCTTATAATCTGGCATCTTATAATCTGTGTCTCAGAAAGAAGGGCAATTTGCAGCCTCAGATGAATACCGGAGTTTAGAGTCAGACTTAAGTTATCTGAAAAGAACGTAAGGCATTTATAGGTTTTAGCAGGGAAAAAAATAATCAAATCTCTTTAAAAAAAAAAATCCTTCTTAGTATCTTGCTTAAGTGTCCAAAAAGCTGTATTATTTTTAGTTTTAAACCAGTAAGTGCTATTAAAAACTGAGAATTCAGGATGTTATCAAATACAAATTTTAAAAAGCTTGACCATTACAGCAATAAATTGCCTAATAAGACACATGTAATCATAAAAACAAACACCAGGATCATTTAGTTGTGATTAGATATATGCCATTTACTTTTTCTGGCTTCTTTCTAATGCGTAATTCCTGCTGAATTGAGTGACCACGTCAGATTTCTATCCGTATCTTTCAGTAAAAGTTCTCAACCTAGACAAGGACAAATTTTAAAATTTTCAAATGAACATCAGTCATTATGTATGATGCTGTTTTGTTAAACTAGCTGTATGCAAAACTATAAAGATTTTATTTGTTTTGTGTTAGCCACAGAGAGTGGACTTGTTTAGAATGCCAAAGTATTTATCACAAATACTAAAATCAAATTCAACAAAAAGCAAACAATGTTGGAGCTGAGAAAAATAATGGCTATATATCTGTTTGAATATTTTGAAAGAAAAGTGAAAATATAGCCAGGTGTGGTGGTGCGCCTATAGTCCCAGTTACTCAGGAGGCTGAGGCAGAATTGCTTGGATCTAGGAGGTGGAGGTTGCAGTGAGCTGAGATCATGCCACTGCACTACAGCCTAGGGTGGCAGAGCAAGACTCTGTCTCAAAAAAAAAAAAAAAAGGTGAAAATCAACTGAGAAGTCTAGAATGAAGAATTACACCTAATGCAATAATATTCTTCCCACCTTTTCAACATTAAGAAGCACCATCAAAAAATACTAAAGACAGAGAAACAACCCGGCAAAATGATTCAAATACCACAGAGCATGAGAATATTCCTGAATAAAGCTCAAGACGTTCTTAAACAGCTAATAGAAGAAATGGTGGGGGACGGGGGACATAAAAATTCTAACCATAAGACAGACTCTAACAGTAAGTAATACATTCTAAAGGTTTAACTAGTAAATTCATCATTTCTTCCAAAAAATGCTCTTATTTTCTTAATAAATAATGAATTTGACACAAATCCGATTTTGATGTTAAAGTCAACATATATAGATATGACCCTCATGTTGACAGAGCAAAGAATTGGAAAAAAAAAAGACAAATGCAAATGAAAAATAGGGGTCTTTTTAAATCTTCTGTAAACAGGTTCTTAAAATAGCACACTGCTCCCTTTCTTCAGCCTCCCTGATAGATTGGTTTGGGCGTGCAATATTAATGCAGGAACATGTGGAATACCAGCACAAAGCTGAGGGCGACTAGCAAACTCTCGCCATGAAATGTTCTTATTTCTCAACTACATTTAGTATTCTTTACAGTTTTAGACTTTTTTCCTTTAAGTGAAAACCGTTCCATGAAATGTTCTTATTTCTCAACTACATTTAGTAGTATTTACACTTTCAGACTTTTTTCCTTTAAGTGAAAACCATTCCACTGAAAAAAAATTCCAAACCGGTTTTTTAAAAATTGCAGGAATTTCTTAACATTTCATAAACAAAAATACCAGAAATTAAAGAGCTGACAGAAATTCAAGCAGATCCAAATTCAACCATCCATTTTTCATACTTCTCCAAGTCTGCAGCAGAGACAGACTTAGCAATTTTCTTAAGGGCCAATTCAAAGTCTCCTTTGGTAACAGGCATCTGAAGCTCCTCTTTAGAAAGTGCACGGATCTCTTCTGGACTTAAGCCATTGATACGCCGTCTCATTGCCATTAAAGAGGCATCCCTAAAAATATACCAAAATCAGTTAACAGTAATTTCTGCAAATGTTTTAAACACTTTCAATTGTAACAAAGTTATGAAAAAACAATCAAAAGATTATTTTATATGTTTTTATGATGCCGCTTAGAATTTTCCACTTAAGAAAAACCCTGGGGGCTCAGAGAAGTTAAAGCAGGACGCAAATAACCAAAAATGTAAAATGCACATAGTCAATGAACCCTAAAAGTCTAGGTTAAGCTCAAATAGTATTGAATTTTCCTTGCCCCACTTGCTCCTCAAAGTCAGCCAAGAAGTTTAGGAAACTGGAGTCGAATTTTGAAATACTGAATTGTACACTTAGAAGTGAACATATGGCTGATGTTAAGATAATTCAAACCACAGACCAGTTTGTCTACAGACTAAATAGAGGAATAAAGCCAGGAATCACTCCCTCTGAAACATGAATATCCACATATAGTGGACATGGAATTCTCTACATGGAGTATTTGTAGGCAACTGAAGGCATAAACTCTGGCTTCTCCTGATCCCATCTGCAGCTCTCTTGGACCAACTATAAATAAATATGAAGGGCTGGAAGAAAAGGATAATTCATAATCACAAAGAAGCTATCAGGAGGGCCAAGCCAACAAAAATTTCAAGTTCTTAAATATTTTACTATCATAGCAGTAGGAACTATTGTGAGCGTATCGTGTGCCATTAAACTTAGATGCACATGGGAAAAATGCGAACAGAAAAGGTGAGAAAAACAGATGCTATGGCTTTAAAGAAAGGCTACTAAAGTCTATTTAAGTACAGTTAGAAAAATAAGAAAAAAATGCACAGAGTGACAGGAACTGTCTAAAAATTATGATGTTGCTAAATGGAAAAATTTTTCCAGCTTACACTGATCATTTTTGCTCATCTGCATGTGTTTAAATAATGCCAGCTGAAACTAAATATTACTTTATGTTGATGCAGAAAGGCTCCAACACAAGGCTAAAGTAATCTTAGGTTGTCAAATTAATTATTACCAAGTTAGACACAATTTCTTAAAAATCAAAAGATCAAAATAGAGGAATAAAGTTACATGGGAACAAAGGACAAATGGAAAACCATTTCGAAAATATGGGTAGCTGCTTTCATGTCTAATGACACTGGGCTAAAGTACACTGACTTGAAGAGCAGTCCTCCTGCCAACTTTATAACCAATGTCTAGAATCAGAGATCATTAAAAAAATACCTGCAAACATTAGTGATGTCAGCACCAGAATAGCCCTCAATCTTCTCGGCTATATCTTCCAGTTGAATATCAGGATCTAATTCGACCTCTCGAAGGTTGATCTTCAGAAGCTCGGCTCTTCCTTTTGCTGTTACAAGATTTTGGTGGTGGTGTTAGATGTTTCACTTTACAAATAATTTTGCTAAGAAATGACATTAACAACAGGGGGAAAAATGAGGCCAATGCAAAGAAGAAGCAATAACTGTGTGTCCATTAGTATTATTACCAATCACTGCATGACTTACGGAATCATTTAACTTTCTATGTGCCTCTGTTGAACTAACTAAAAATTGACCAAAAAAATCTATCTGGGTTTTCTTTATAGACTGTGAGGTTACCTCCTATGAGAACAAAGAATCTGAGATCCTTCAAGAAAAATATAAATATCAGTTTTCAAGCACCAGAAATGCTTCTCATAAAAAATATTTAGCCTGGTGTTACAAAATTAGACCATATCAAGTGTAACTCCTATGAATTACTTTACTCACCTGTTAGTACGACATGGATCTCCAGAACTCTTAATAGTAGTTTAAAGAACATTTCCTGAAAATCAGTAATTGGCACAAAAAGCTCATTAATGTATTTTTTACTTGGAGCACCAGCCCACAGACATTTGGTGTTCCAGTATGATTTAAATGTGAACTGAATAAGTTCAAACATACTACAGAATTTTAAAAATAACCAATCACGTTTGCCATTTCACTAGTGCTTTTAGTGGCAAATCTGCTTAGCACAGCACACTGAGATAATGCATTACTAGTTTATTTGGCACTCTATTTTCTGAGATACAAAATGAAATTTAATTTTCTTCTACTTTTATTTTGAAAAATGCTAAATCTACAGGAAAAGAAAAATCAATGAATACCCAGTCACCTTTCACTGAGATTCACCAATTGCTAACATTTGGTGAATTGCTAACATTAGGCCATCACTCTAGCTGCCTCCTCATCTCCTCTCCTCCCCCAACTTTTTGAACTGAGCACCAGCTGTAGGCATCACAACACTTCACCTTAAATTCCTCAGCATGTATCTCCTAAGAAAAAAGGTAGACATAACATTTCTAACCCTTATCAGGAGATTTAATACTGGTACATTAGTGTCTAACAAACAATTCAAAGCAAAGTTTCCCCATTTGTCCCAGGCCTTTGTAACTTTTACAAACCAACACATTGCATTCAGTTACCATGCTTCATTCATCTTCTTTCACCTAAAACAGTTTCCCAGTGTTTACTTTTTGGTTCATTTTGTTTTGTCTTTCATCTAATTGACAATCCTCCCCCAACTGATCTTACAGAGCCAAAGCATTCCAACAAAGATTCTCCTAAAAGGTCTATCTGTAGAAATTAACGGGCAGATACCAAATGTTCATGGAAACGGAAAGAACCAAGAACAGCCAAGATGCTCTGGAAGAGCATCAGCGAAGTGGAAAGAATTGCTCTATCAGATTTCAAGACTTATTACAAAGGTATAGGACTCAAAGCAGTGTGACACTCTTGTGGAAATAGACAAACAGGTCAACAGTACAGAACGGGGTGCCTAGCAGCAGACAAAAGCATACATTATAGATACTGAATTAATGACAGAGGTGGTTCAGGCCGAAATGCTTTTCAATTAATGATGTAAGAACAGCTGACTATCCACAGGGAAAAAAATGAAATCAGTTCCTACCTCATACTGTACATGAAAATCAGTGCCAGAAATATTACATCCAAATGCAAAGCTGTTAAGTATTTTAATAGATAACACAGAATATCTGAATGATCTCAGGGAAGTATTCTCAAGACATGTATTCAAAAATTCAACTAAACTAGGAAAAGATGGCTAAACTGACCACATTAAAATAAGAAACTTCTATTCATCAAAAGAGACTGTATACATAGTGAAAACAGGTTAAGTTACAGAATTTGAGAGATATTTGCAACATATATAAGCAAACAAAGACTTGTATCAAGAATATTTAAGGAATTCCTAAAAATCAGCAAGAAAAAGACTAGTTAACAGCCAGCATGCCTGGCTGTGCACAGTGGCCAGACCACAGAGCTCGCTCGCTCATGCACCCCTCACCACTCTGTGCCTGGCTCACCCGTGGCAGGCATGGGATCAGGGCCAGCAGCTCCAGCTGAGCACAGCCTGCCAGGCCAAGTGGGTGAACACTGGGCTCAAGCAAAACTCCAGCAATGGTGCCACCAAGGATCCTGCAACACAAGCACTTTGGAAAACACACTGAATTCATCTATCAATATTGCAGCACAACCTAGCAATTCACTCCTAGGATGGAATGCTCCATTCTGGCATTCTTACTACTACACATGTATGAAAATGTTCAGAGTAGCTGCACAGTTCATCACAGCCTAAAACAAGAAATAAAAATGTCCACTAAATAACATGATGGATACATTTCAATATAATCACATAATAGATGTTATGGGTTGAACCACGTCTCTCAAAATTTTTATGCAGCTCCTAACCCCCAGTACTTAAGAATGTGACTGTATTTGGAGACAGGAGAGGCAATTAAGACAAAATTAGGCCATATGGACTCTAATCCAGCATGACTGGTGTCCTTGTAAGGAGAAGAGATTAGGACATGAACACCTCTAAGGGAAAGACCACGTGAAGGCACCGGGACAAGACGGCCACCTACAAGCCAAGAAGAGAGGCCCCAGAATGCAATCACCCTGCCTACACCTTGATCTTGTACTTCTAGCTTCCAGTACTGTGAACAAATTAAATTCTGTTGTTTGAGCCACCCAGTCTTTGGTATTTGTTATGGCAGCCCTAGCAAACAAATATGATAGAATACACACACAGCAACAAAAATGAATCTAAGGTGGCATCTATATGTAGTAACATGGATGAATCTTAAAATACACTGAGCAAAAAGGCCAGGCATGGGGGCTTACGCCTGTAATCCCAGCACTTTGGGAGGCCAACGTGTGTGGATCGTGAGGTCAGGAGTTCAAGACCAGCCTGGCCAACACGGTGAAACCCCATCTCTACCAAAAATACAAAAATTAGCTGGGCACAGTGGCAGGTGCCTGTGATCCCAGCTACTCAAGAAGCTAAGGCAGAAGAACCGCTCGGATCAGGACCTTGAGGTTGCAATGAGCCAAGATTGCGCCACTGAACTCTAGCCTGGGCAAGTCTTCGTCTCAAAATAAATAAATAAATAAATAAATAAAGTACACTGAGTGAAAGAAGATACAAATGAACACAATCCATGTGATTTCATTTATGTAAAGTTTAAAAGGAGGTAAACTTTGTTTGGGGATACATTATTAGATGATAAAATTATACAGAAAAGCAATACATTATTTCCGTAAGAGGAAATCACCGTAATGGAAAAGTGGTGACCCCTAGCAGAGGGCAGGGAAGAGCCATGCTGGGAGGAAGCGCACTGGGAGCTGCTGAGTTGCGAGGAGGCTCCACTTCTCCAGGAGCCGGTAACAGGGCTGTCTGCTTCACCAGCTACTGGAGAAACTAAACATTTTAGTAACTGTTTCTGTATTGAGTTACATTTCACACACCACACACACACACAGTAAGACTGAGCAGAGCAGTGCCAAAAGCAGCAAGCAGGTGTGATTTGGGATTACCAGAAAACAGAAAGGGCAGGACTAGAAAACCTCTACCTACACAATTGCCTAATCTCAGAAGCCCCTATCCCGGATCTCAGCCAACAGGCTCCCAGGGAGTATACCCGCTCAATATGTGGTTTACGGCCGAAGAAGTCCTCCAGTAAGGCTGAAGGCAAGAGGGCTAGGGACAAGAAGGGGTGAGGGGAGGAAGCTCCTGTGCCTACCGCTACAGAAGGCTCATGGTCACCTGATGTCCAGGTAAGAACTAACGTTAACATAAGAACATCGTTACACCATGCTCCACATAGAGCCAGAGACAGCCAGTGAACAAAGACCCCTTTTCATTCTTACAGGCCCAATATTAGAATACCACTGTATGTGTAAATCAGATGTTTCACTGTGTCTGGCCTAAGATCCTAACACCAAGTTTAATATAATATATTCTCCCATTGAAATGAAGTTCCAGACAGCCAACTTAAAATGAACCTGGGAACATAAACCTGATCATAAGTGAGGACCTGGTGGTGCTGAACCTTAACCAGAAGCATCCTCTGTTTCCCTAGTAACTATGATTCTGGGGGCAAGTAACTTAATACTAGTTATATCAGTAATTTTTCAGAATAGTCTTAAAATTTATCAGCTCTATAAAAATGAATTAATGATATTCAATAAGCTTGTGAAAAGATTTAACAAGGGATTAATGTGTCGTTAATGACAGCGTAATGAACTGCCAATTCTCTATCACAACGTTAATACACATTCTAAATTTAAATAAATGTTGTTAAAAGAATCATACACTCCTTAAACAACCCCTCTTGAATCCACCAGGCAGTCCAGTGGAGTTAAAAACACTATGTTCTGGGCCTGCCTATCTGGGCTTTGGAATCATATGCCTGCTCTCACTTAGCCTCTGGGTGTATCAGTTTGCTAAGTGAAATAAGAACAGAATCTACCTTATAAAGCTGTCATGAGGGTTAAGTGAGTTGATGCATACAAGGCCTGGCCCACGGTAAGTACTCAGTAAATGTTCACTGCCCCCACCACCAGTCAATCAACAAATAGGACTCTGGGGAGACAGAAGTGGCCTTTTCTCGAGAGACATCTAGGAAAGCAACAACCCAGATGAAACACCTGGGGACACAAGACAGGCCAGGGAGAGAAGACTGCATGACACCCACATGCTGTAACACTGGCTTTGAAAAGGGTAAAATTTAAAGAGAAGTGAAGAGAGAACTTGGGAAATGGGAGTACCACAGATAATGACACGGAAGTAGGAGGAAGCATGTGTGCAGCAGAATGAGCAAAAAAGGGTACAAAGTAGAAAAATACAATAAAATACTGATAGATGCAAACAGACACAGATAGGATACATACGGTGTGAACTTGCAGTAAAAGGAATACAACAACAAAATAAAAATAAAAGGACTCTGATCCTGATGTAATAGGAAGTCAGAGTCACTCTGAGTCAAAAGGACTCTAATGCCTTGGTGTTTAGGAGGTCAGCCTAAAA